AGAGCCAGACCTTCTCTTCAGTTATCTAAAGACAGAAAAAGACCCTCCCTCAATTTCCAAATTATATTTCCTTCAGAGCCTGGGGATTATGAGAAACCAAAAGGAGTGCAAAGTTGTATTTAGTGACTGTGCAGAACAACGTACAAATAGGGAACCAACACCAAAAGAACATGAGAACAAAGGTTACATACAAGCATGGAAAAAACAGCCACACAAACAACAAGGGGAGCGAAATCATCTCACCTGGATTTAACATTCATGCAGACAGAAACAAAACAAAAGGGACAAAACAAACTGTTTTTCTTAAACATAGTTTTAGTTTTTCAGCATTTCCAGTGTTTCTGGTTCCTTCAGACATATGAATATTGCAGAAAGACAGGAAGGAGAACTTGTGTTAAAACAAGTGAAATGTCAAACACTTACTTTGCAAAAAAAAGACTATCAGGAGACCATCAAAGGTCCGTGGGGCATAAAGATCACCATGGTATAAGGTCACGTAAGATTTGGCTAATGGATTTTGCTGAGAAAGTTTGAGATGCTAGGGGCTTGGTTTTTTATGAAAAACCATTAGGACATTCAGAATGCCAAACACAAGTGAAATACGGTTTGAATCTATTTCAGCAGATGTTACCCTATTATTAACATGCTTGCATCTCTTAAGAGCATGAGATTCATAGGCTGCCCACTTCAAAACTTTGATTCTTGTTAGTCAAGGTACATGTCTGCATTAAAACACATATACATACCATATTGTCAATAAATAACTCAGAATCACCAAATGTGATTGCAATTAATAAAACCTGATGTTCAGGAAACTCAAGAAGAGCAGCTTCCATGAGGCTTACCCACCTATACAGCATTTAAAAATGAAAACAGTTGGAGAGCAATTGCTGGTAATTTGATTTTGGTGGCTACTCATTAGCATTAGGAAAGCAACTGAATTTAGGCTGTTGTATTTAGCTAATGTTAGCAAACTTGAATGTAATTTCAATTGTTTTTCCTAATCTAAACAAGGACCTCTGATCTTCTCTGTCTTAATGGAAGGACTTCTGCCAAGCTGAAGACAAAGAATCAAGGTTCATGGATGTCAGAAACAGGATGAACTCCTCTGGGCAAGGCCACTCCCTGCCTTTTACCTATATTCCTCTCACATGCAGCTGTTGCTGTCAAACCTCACCTCATGCTCAATTTGGAATCTATGGAGTAATATTTCAGGCAAACGATTTCTGGGGACAAAATACAAGTATGTGAGAACAAAAACACAGGCAAGGAGAGAGAACTGTGTATGGAAAAGGAAGCCCAAACAAGAAATGAATAATCCCTGAAAAATAAGACAACTTCTGGGCCACATCTGTCCTAGGGCAGCTACTCAAACAAAAGAAAAGGACATAAAGATTGAGCTATATGCAACTAAAGCTAACAGAAATAAAATTGCACCTTATTCAGTGCTGGTTCTGGTTTGCATGTGTGTTAGCCCCACGTCTCCTCTTACTACTTATTTGACTTTCTGAAAAAAGCAATTTCAACTTGCTTCTGCCCAGAAGAAGTTACAATTTTGAAGGTGTTAACACCAAGCACATGATAAAAGTTCAGATGTTCAGATCAGAATTACATTTATAATCAGACTTATGAAGTGCTTCTGAATAGGACCCTTCGCACCATGCAGCTGTAGATCTGTTAAACAGCAGTAACCCTCAGGAGAAGGCAAGAGTAACATTACAAGAAACAAAAGCTTGTGTGCTAGCTTCGGTATTTGAATAGTACTAAAAAATAAAAGTATGGACTCAGGCCTAACCATCAGCTGTACAAACATGGTATAGCTACTCCAATGTGAGGCAAGGACAGCAGTGCAATGGAACGAACTTTCCACAGTACTGACATTCTTCTTCACCCCCTTATTCTCTACTGATTCAAATTGGTAGGGAATAGAAGGCAGCAGCAAAAATATTGTCAGTCATCACAGTTTTGTATCAAATAGGTCTAGTAAAAGTATTATTTTCATTGGATTGTTAATGTGGGTTTTGATAATAATAGCTTGGAATATTCAGACTTCTCTTAGACATTCAGTTAAGTGCATTAATAGGACTAAGCCTTAATGTAGACCTTCTTAAATCGATCAAAAATCACATGCTCCTAAGTTCTTGTGTGGAATTACGATCCAAACGAGGTGTTTCCAGGGGAGCTCTGGAAATAGGTATCTCACAGAGCTCTGTCCTCTGACTAATACTAATCAAGTTCTTTATCTATAATTAAAGGGGAAAAAAACCTTCCTTCTTTCTGTAAACTTAAAAGCTGTCCATTTCCATCAGGGGTCAGGGAGAACTCCTTGGTTGGTGCCATGAAAACATTGCCCAGGAAAAGGTTGGGAAACAAGGGAAATCACGTGTTACGAGTAACTAGGAAAGCAAGAGAGAACAAAAGTATGAGAGTCATTATGCCATTGCCTACATCATGCTTAGCCCAGACCTTAATCCTGGGTGCAGTCTGATACCTCCAGACAGGGCTGAACTGAAAGAGGTTCAGATAAATCCAGCAAGGAAGCTCAGAGGTCAAATGGCTTCCACAAAGGACCATCTGAGTAAGCTGGGACTCTTCAGCAGGGAAAAGACATGACTGGCACAGGAAAGGTCTACAACATTCTGAGAGGCAGGGAGAAGAGTCAGCAGCGGCCATTCACTCTCTTTCAACAGAGGAACAAGGGCCATCAGCTAGTGGGAACAAGCAGAGCAGACTTACTGGACACCTTGCAACAGGGTGTTGTAAGAGCAAAACGTTTACATGGGTTCATGGTGATACAGGAAAAAGTACCTGAAAGAGAGACACTGAGGGAGCTCGACAGACTGTAACAGACTCAGGAGATCCCGAGAGCTGAAAACAGTTGCATATCGAGAAAAGCATTAGGAACCTTTTTTCCTCATTAAATAATGTGACAGAATTCCCAGAAAGTGGAAAGTTTGTCTGCCCATCATCCCTCCTCCTACTCCTTTTCATTGTCCTCAAAACACCAATATTCCTAACTTTGCCTCCAAAAGGTTTGAAGTAACTACATAGTCCTTTCTGGTTTTCACCTGTATTTCCCCACTGAATTTTCAATTCAGTTGTGTGTGCAAGACTTCTGGGGCACGTACAGGACCTCACCCACTCCTCTACATACACAAAGTACTTGCTCTCAGGTCAGCCAGCTTGCATTCATGCCTATTACAGAGAATAGATGCAATGCAGAGATGCTTCTTGTTAACTTAGATACATGCTGTGAAGTTGTAAATACTGGCTGTAGTAAGACTGCTGTTGTTATGCTAGTTTAAGCATACAAAGCAAGTTCTGCAGGAAGAAGTGAAACATTATTAAAAACAATATTGTGGGGAAAAACAGGCTTTCCCCACCCTCCCCAAAAGTGCTTCTTCATCTGTAGAAACTGTGCTCAAAAGCTTGCTTGTTTTTCTCCAAATACACCAGTTTCTCTCACAGAAAGCACATTCATATTCTCCCTCAAGCTTTACCTCAGTGGTACAGGTTAAACTGGAGTGAGTAATAGGAAGAGGAAAAAATCAGGCTGAAATTAAAGCTCTTTGTGAAACCTTTACTACAAATGTCATGCTTCAAAAACTTGATCAAGAGAACTGCAAACATTCCACTAAACCACAAATATTTTTAATCACATTCCTGTTAAAGATACAAGGCAGGGACTGGGGGAGCAAAGTCCCTCCCACTGTAAGAGATGATCAGGTTCAAGACCACCCGAGGAACCTGAACATACTATGGAACTCAACAAGATCCATCCCAGAGTCCCAAGGGAGTTGGCTGATGTAGTTGCCTTACTGCTGTGCCTAAGATGATCATGGAACAGATCCTCCTAGAAGCTATGCTAAGGCACATGGAGGATAGGGAGGGGATTTAAGACAGCCAGCATGGCTTCACCAAGGACAAGTCTTGCCTGATCAACCTAGTGGCCTTCTACGATGGAGTAACTACATCAGTGGACAAGGGAAAAGCTACTGATGTCATCTACCTGGACTTCTGTAAGGCCTTTGACATGGTGTGCCACAACATCCTTCTCTCTAAATTAGAGAGATATGGATTTGATGGGTGGACTGTTTGGTGGATAAGGAATTGGCTTGATGGTCACATTCAGAGTACAGTGGTCAATGGCTCAATGTCCAGATGGAGATCAGTGATGAGTTGTGTCCCTCAGGGGTCTGTACAGGGACCAATACTGTTTAGTATCTTAATCAATGACATCAACAGCAAGATCGAGTGCACCCTCAGCAAATTTGCAGATAACACCAAGCTGAGTGGTGTAGTTGACATGCCTGAAGGATGGGATGCCCTCCAGAGGGACCTGGACAAGCCCAAGAAGTGGGCCCATGTGAACCTCATGAGGTTCAACAAGGCCAAGTGCAAGGTCCTGCACCTGGGTCAGGTTGGATAGGGGTCCGAGCAACCTGATCTAGTTGAAGATGTCCCTGCTCATTGCGGGGGGGGTGGACTAGATGACCTTTAAAGGTCCCTTCCGACTCAAACCATTTTATGATTCTATGAACTACCACTATTATTCTAGCCACTGCATATTTACATATATACTTGACAAAGTCCTTTACAACTTAAATTTTACTCTAAAAGTTCTGAATTGCTTTAAAATTCTCCTGAGGTATTCCCCAAAATATCCCTTCCACATCCGAGATACCGATATTCAGGTCTTGGACTGAACACCTTACTTGAGGTTGTTTTACAGAAGAGCAGCAAACTTCTGTGGAACAATTGAGACTGAGACACTGCCCATTAACATCCTCGTCCAAGTTCTTCCACACCACACCTCCGGAAAACACTTTTCTATTTGTTCATGATGGTTCTAAACCTCTGTAACAGAACTTCAACAATATCCTCCCCACTGAGGCAGTGCTGCTGTTGTTATGGAATGCAGTGCAAAGGTATTCAAAGAAAACAGTCAGATACACTTTGAAGCTAAAGGTCACAATAAGTAGGAAAAGAAAATACTTTACCATGTACATGAGACTGTTGGAAACTTTTCCCTGGCGCAAAGTGGAAATTTCCAGCTACCTGCAGGAGATAGTAACCTTTCATTAAAAGGTCTGTATCTACATAAATAAAGCCGTTCTACTGGTGCTTGGATTTCTAAATTTTTGTTTAAACAAGATGTATGCCAAGCAACTCGTTTTAATAGGTGACAATATCAGCAGATATTGTCCTGAAAGAGAGGAGAATTTCCCCTCTTCCTCACAGGCAGTCCTGTGAAAAGCCATAATTACATACTGATGTTGATAATAACTGTTCTATGCAGATAATAACTGCATTCTATGCAGATTATTTTAGTGGACATAATAGAAGAAGAAGGAATTGAGTCTATTGGGAGGGAACGGACTGCTGCTGCAGGAAATACAAAAAGGTATCACAGAAAAGGGGTGGAGACAGTAACTGAGAGGGAGAGTGAGCAGGGTACAAAAAAAACCCCACCTTAATACAATAAATAACAGTAATCCTATATATACATCCATGAAAACAAGATGCATGCAAAAATAAAGCACTAAACCTACATAAAAACCCCCATCAAACCTCCCAAAACCCCCAAAAGACAAAGGTGGTTAAAGTATCATTCTGGACTCTGAAAAGGATATGCCAAACCTCCCTGACACTTACCAGCAATCATACATGCTCTCCTCTGGAAAATCTGAATAGCCCAAGCTCACATGCTACTTTACAACATTCATGTCTGTGCAAAACTGTTGATTGTTAACTGCAGAACTAATGAGAACAGATGTGCAAGATTCCAAGTGCCTAACAACAGCCCACAGAAATTTCCCCAGTGACACCCACCCTTGGACCCTTGCTACCCTTCAGCATTCCTCTTTGAATCTTTCCTGCTCATCACACTTTGTGATAAGAGGGCCCTGGAATGGTTCAGTACCCATGATGATGCTCAGATCACAATGTCTGGCTTCGTGAGTAAAACATTTACTTTCCAGAAGTAAAGAATGCGGTCTCCAGGAAGAGTGCACAAAGATGTAAAACACCCAGAGTCTGAATTAAAAACCAAACAACCAAACAACAAACCCAAAAAACATTAGACCGGGCTTCTAGAATGTACTTGGGTACGTAACGCGTGCATCCAAGTGTTCTAGGTTTGGTAACCTGCAAAATGATGGGGTAGTTGCACAGTCATCTGGTGTATCTTGTACTACATTTTCATACACCAGTTGCAAAAACCACCTCTCTGAGCTTTTTCAGCTTTGATGACCAATTCCGTCAGTCTTGCTGCTGCTGTTTTTCTAAAGAAGATAACATTTCACTCTCTCCAGCACCTCTGCTGGCAAGTTGTTCGTTACTGTTATCTCCAGCATCTGCTGGTGGCCTCTGGTTTAAGACTAGGAAGGGCAAGTGGGGCCATCTAACCTCAGAGAAGCTGCCTCCTCCAGAAACCTTGGCAAAAAAGACTCGTTAGCTAGACAGTAGGAAAAGCTAAGCTTCTCCAGCTGGCATGCTTCCTACCAGCCCACGCAACAAAACAGAGAATTAGCCCCTTCCCACCACTTCTCCGGACTCTCCCACTGAACCCCTTTACGGGCACAAGTACCTTGCTGAGCCCAGAGGTGGTTATATTACGGCCCTGTGAACACCTAAAGCTGGAAAAGGACTCTGTCTTTTCACAGTCCTCACCATCATGCAACAGGTGTGCAGCAAAACACATCTCTCACCTTGTTGACCTCTAGGAAACCATACACTTGGCAGCCCTCATTCTTCTGCTCTTGCATTTTCTGGCTAAACCCTTCCCTCTTGCATTGTTCTATGGTATCCGGGTTCTTGAAGGCCCAGCCTCGCCGCCTGTATGCTTCTCTGACATCGTCACAAGTATTACAACACCTGCAAAAGCACAAGCACCATCTTACCATCTTTATTGCTAGGAAGAGATGCTCCAGCTCAGAACTTGAATCCTTGGTGGATTTTTCTTCAATGAAGCAATAAAGCAAACATCAGGGACTGGATCTGGAAAGGTAGTCTAATGCTCCTGAAGGAGCTTGAGCTTCTTGATGTACTTTTTGAGATTTTGGCATACGGATGCAAGTTGTTTTAATGCAGTGCTTGAGTCTGAAGACAGCTTTGCCCATCCATTTAGACAGCCAAGTCACTCCTTGGCAAAGAAATTTGCTAAAAGACCAACATCAGTGTCCCACAGTTCTGAGCAATTTGGAACTTCCCTGTGCAAACAAAGCATCTGCCTGTTTCTATTCCTCCTTTCCTCTGTTTTTAGGACAAGATTGTCAACATTGGAGGGAGAGTTAATGGCAAACTTTCTACATTACTTTTTGACCTCTGGGTAACACCTTGGTCACCACAAAAAGACAGTTCTCTTTCTTCGTTCCGTATTTTGCTGGACCAAAGAAAGAGCCAAAAGCTTAAATCATGAATCCCTCAAGATGGAAACACCTCTGGGGAAGGACACGACTTGACAGACGGGACTGAACAAGTTACTACAGAGACAGTAATAGCGAAGGATAGCCCAGAACCTATGGGCTATCATGGATCCATTCTTACAGGAATTTGCATGTAGGAGGAATAAGAAACACCAAATTACACCTGTTGTTTGTGTGAGCAATAGATGCCTGGTCTTTGCTCCTGTAAGGATGCAAAGCCTGCAGCAGAAATGAGAAGGCAAAGACATAGCCAGGTTTTATTCCAAGACAGCTAACATAACAGTGAAATAATTTACACAGCTCCCCTCTGGACACCAAATAATCCCAGAAGAGATACTATTTGCTGCAATACAATCTTTGTGCTGCTGCAAAGGTAGCGCAACTTGCACTGCCCTTAAATAAGCATGTAGACAAACTAGACAACCTAATTCTGCACGTTCTTTACAATCATGAGTGCAGCTTCCAAAGGCATACCAAAACCACAACAGTTCTCATCATTCTCTCAACATGTGCCAAGGAGGATTTCATTGCATAGACCTTCATAGACATTTTGAGAAAAAAAAAAAAAAAAAAATACAAACCCAAACCCATGTATGCAACATAACTGTATTAATTAAAGTGCTAAGAAGATACAAAAAGCTGTAAAGGTTACCGAATGTCCTCTGACTCTGCCCCGTAGCAGCTCTCACAGCGATCGGCATCCAAAGAATTTGGATCAAACACTTTTTCTTCTTCTTTCCCCAGCTCTAAGACAAAGCAGAATTCAAAGTGATGAGGCATGTCTAGAAACGCTATCTTGTACTCTTGTTTTGTTCTACACACAATAACTGTTCTACACATGAACGCAATGATTTTGTGTTGGACACGGTGCATCCTGCACCCAAAGCCTACCTGAAATGGCACGCATAGAGCCTGTTGAGTTGTGACATAAGACCAAGAAACAGAGTAGCATTTGTCATCTCAAGAACACCTGACATAGAAAGAACTGGCTATGTGAAAGCCTTGCTGGACCACTGATCAGATGTAATGTGCATAAAGGCTTTCTTAAAACATTGTCTAAAGTAGACCCAATCAGTAAATTGCCACTAATGGAGGACCTGTTACACAAATAAAATTTTAAATAGCAGTCAACCACAGTCAACAGCACATAACGCATAACCCTGTCCCAAGACATATAGGAAACATGGTTATATATTGCTGTGAAACAAGATCAGAGTGGGAGTCTCCCAAGTGGAAAATTGACACCCAGTCCTCCAGGATGACAATGCTGATAAGGCACACATGTTAACCACTGCTCACTAGAAATCTCCAAGGCATTCCCACCTTCTTTGTGACTTAACAATTCTGCCAATGTCTGTGCCACGCAGGTGCTGAATGTGCAGCCACAGTACAGCTAGGGAACAAACTGACGGAGTTTTATGTTCTTATGTGCAGAAAGCTGAAGAGGTACTTGTAGTAGAGATGATGAGAGCTGGTGACAGCTGAAACCTGCCAAAGGGGATGAGATGCCTACAGAAAATTCAAATGGGACTTCTGTTTTGTCAAGAACCAAAACAAATATCAAAGGTCTGCAAATTTTGGAGTTAGGAATAAGTGAGCCAAGGAATTGTATGTCTAAAATTTTCAAAAACATTGGCTCTTATACTAAGAGGCCTCCTTAAAATTAAGCTGTTTCAATTCACAAATCCTGAAGGACTGGACCAAGTCTCCTGGGTTACAAAAGCCCTCTAAGGCTCACTATCTAGACACTGCTGCACTACCCTCTGTAAGCCTTGAAAAGATGACTCCTTAGATAACTAATGCTGGGGAAGGTGATAAGGTACATAGTCAGACACTGCTGAGGGGATAAAATGTTATCAGGGCCTTGTTTGTTGAGATTGGGAGGTACAACAGGTGGATGGAAGTGAGTATTAAAGATGTCTGTATTTTGTATTAGCCACAAGAAAAAAAATTAATTAGAATGTATGAAATAAGCATGAAAATCAATCATTAACCTTATTTCTTTAATCAAATACTTTATGGCAGTTATGATCAAGCAAACAAAAACTTCTAGGGAAATACACCCATTATTAAACAACTGTGTGAGACTTTCTTCTAAAGCTTATAACATTCAAAGTAGTTGAAAGCGCACTTAAGAATTCATTGTTTAAAAAGCGGTACAGGTTTTAATCTTGTAATTACACGGGAAGATAGAGTCAGAAAGAACACAGCTTAATAACTGCTATGCCTTGTCAAAGCTATGATTCCCATCATTTGAACAAGGACACCTGTACAACACATGGGGTATTTCAAGATACAACAACCAGTAACAGCTTTTTTAAATGTAATCAGCAGCTGCCTGTTGAGTTGTCTCAGAAACAGCATCCAGAGGTAAGGCACATGGTTTATATACTGTAAAGAAACCGCAGTACATAAAACTCTACAGGCAGTGTTTCTTGCTGTTAACATGGTCCTCAACTTGCATGCAGATATGATATGTGAAATTGGAAAACTTTGCCCACGTTAAAAGGAAGGAAAAGATAAGAACCACCAACAAAGAATTCAATCATTTACTGTCATTCAATGCAAATGAATAAGATGATGTCCAAGCACAGAATGCAACCTACCATAGAAATCATTAAGCTATTAACTATTTTAATGTATGATTAGGTGTCCTGGTTTCGGCTGGGATAGAGCTAATTTTCTTCATAGTAGCTAGCATAGTGCTGTGTTTTGGATTTAGTACCAGAAGAATGTTGATAACACACTGATGTTTTCAGCTGTTGCCAAGTAGTGATCAGACTACTCAAGGACTTTTTGAGCTTCTCCTGCTTGCCCAGGTGCATAACAAGCTGGGAGTACAGCACAGCTAGCACAGCTAACCCAAACTGACCAAAGAGCTATTCCATACCATATAACGTCATGCTTGGGGGGGGGTTAGTTCGGTCGGTCGGTTGCGGGGAGGCTGCTCGGGGCTCGGGGACTGCTCGCGGCTTGGGGACTGCTTGCGGCTCGGGACGGGCTGGGCATCGGTCGGTGGGTGGTGAGCAATTGCCTTGTGCCTCATTCGTTTTGTATATTCTGTATATTCTGTTATCATTCTCATTATTACTATTATTATTATTTTCTCTTATTAAACTGTCTTTATCTCAGCCCTCGGCTCTAACCTTTTATTTTCTTTCCGATTCTCTCCCCCATCCCACTGAGGGAGGGGGGGGAGTGAGCGAGCGGCTGCGTGGTGCATAGTTGCCAGCTGGGTTAAACCACGACA